ATATTCCTCCTTCCCTTTTCTCAGCACTAGCTTTACTTCCAAGAATGGTAGGTCTGTTGGCAGTAACTCCTACAAGAAGTAATAGTAATCTGTCCAGGTACAGATACAACCTGAATTCCAAAACAGGGATGTAAGCGGGTAATTGAGTAAATTATTCACTCCCCCCCCCCCCCTTCCTTGCTGCCTCTGATACAGAGGCAACCGGAGCAGCCTCTGCCTGCCGCATGGCTGGGGTTGGCATGAACCAGGACTAAGCAAGCCCAGCTTTGTCCCAACTCGCACCGGTCTAGGACCTACCCCCTGCTGCAGCCCTGCAGTTTAAATGTAGTGGGAACCAAGCTGCCTGCGCACTCAGCAAGTACTACATTTCAACTGCAGAGCTGCAGTGGGGTAGCTCCTGGACCAGTGCAAACTAGGACAGAGCGTATCGACTACACGATTAATCAGTTATCTGCCTCTTAACATCCTTACACCAAAAATGAGTTTTAAAGAACACTAGGTTGCTTCTAGCCCCGTTTCCAGGGGCTCTGTTTTGGCTAACTGTTGAGGAAGGAGTTGTCCTGCTCTTCAGTACACTTAGAGTTTTGCTCTAAGGATAGATTTTTATTGGAACTAAAGGCTTTGACTGTTTTGTAAATAATTGCATTAGTCCTATTTGCAAAGATTTGGGGGGCAGTGTAATTAAGTACTTCATGAATTTAGTCCCTGGAGTACTTTGGCATCCAGCTAGAGTGAGGATTGAGAGCCACTTTGCTGTTGTTGCTTTCCAGCAATCAGAGTTTAACCAAACAGGTCTTCAAATAAATGAATGACTGAGGTTTGTGCCTTGTCCCCTTGCTCCCTTCTCCCTCCCCTCCACTCAATTTGGGCAAATAAAGTTCATGCATCACATCTACTTTACATTTCCCTGGTCTAGTGCTAAGGCCCAACACCCTCAGTGCTAGAACTGGTTCTGAAAAGCAACAAACCCAAATGATAGAACTGTGACCCTGCTCTAAATCTCATGTCATTTACATGCAACAGCTATTCTGTTGGGAGCAGATTTTCACATTCTTACATATTCACCAGAATAGAGGAATGTATGCATGGTGGGATAAAAAGGAGGTAACATTTTTACTCTAGCCTGACCTAGTTTTTCCTATGTATGTGCAGTGAGATAAGATCTTCCCTTCTCTTGGTAAGCTGGCTACTGGCATACAGAACTGACCTCAGTCTGAATGGAGACTACAGGTTGAACCTCTCTAGTCCTGCACACTCTCATCTGGCAACTTACCTGGTCCAGTGTAATTCTTTGTGAGCTGGATTGTCCACTTATCATGGGTCTGGACAAGTTTCCCGCTGTCCCATAAAATGTGTTTACAGCCACCAGTCCTAGCACTCAGTGTTCTGTGCTGTGATTTAGCTCAAATTTACCTCTAATTGTCTTCTGAGAGCCCAGTAAGCAGTGGAAGAGTTGGTCATACTGCTAAACAATATTGACCTGGTTTGGCACCAGTCAGATCCCAAAAGTACCAGACTAGAGAGGTTCGACCTGTATTAGCTGGAGTGCTAAGAGCTTATCGTCCATTTCACAAGTGGTGCTGGGCTAACGCTTTGGTTGAATCAGGGATGGCACATAAAAATGTTGTAATTGTCAAGAGCTTGTATGTTTCCCTTCTGTGGCTGGACATGCAACACAACTCTAGTTCTGACCACTGCCACTCTTAAACTGATACCCTGTCTTAATCCCTGCTTTCACTTACTGGCTCCTGCTATCAAAGAAAAGTGCAAATGGTAAGAGTGTGAAGCAATGTTTTTGCTGTACAAAATGGCAACCTGAACACCATCTTGCATGCATAGTATCAGCTTTATTGTGAAAAGACTTCAAGCAGTACTAGAGAGAAAAGCAGATGCACTGATGTGAGGCTGCTCAGAGGACATTAGACCCCATGCTTTAGTATTTAACTGAATTTAAGGAATAGATTCTGTATGTTTACCTCAGTGTAAAGATTTAACCTTTCCATGGAGAGGAAAGGTAATTGCATGAAGCAAGAGCTTTTCTAAGCACTCGGCCTCTCCAAAGCAGGCTTTACATTGGTATAAACACTGTTGCTCTTTAGGCCCTTTACCGTTCTAGGATGTGAAGGGTTAAAAATGTGAATATTTGTTTTGTCATTTGACATTCATATGATGTGTTTATATGCAGAATCTCAACCAGACTGAAGCAAAACCGTATGCAATTGGTTTATTAAACTGTATATGATGTACAAACTAATAAACATTTAAATGATGAGCGTGTGACTGTTTTTGACCAGGCAAACAAGCCAGGCTCCCCAACTACCCCATGTTTTAAAGCTGGGGACCCTATTTTGAAAATTTCCCAGCAGGGGTTTTCAGCATATAACAGCCTGGGAGGAAGACTTGTGGGGTAGATGCTATTAAGAAAAAGGCATGGTTCCTCAAAATGATAAAGGCCAGGTCTAAGATAGACCCGGCAGTTTGGCTTAAGTACGTAAAATACATAGCTGGAGTCATTCTGTTGGCTTCCCTTTTCTCCTTGCAAAAGGAGTACTGGATGCCAGCAAGGGTGCCCTCTTGAGTTCAATTTAGCAAATCTCAACTAGACTCACTAAATCAAATACTGGAAGATCAATCGTGGTAGTGGCGCTGTAGACCAGGCCAAAGATGTACATAAGTTGGGCAGGGCCTTAGCTGAACACTAAGTTTCCTTTTATTCTGGGCTTCCCCTGTGGAACACACCATAGCTCTTGTCGGTCTACCACCAAGTTTGGCAGAGGCAGAGTTTCTCCTTTCAAGTGAAGGGAAAACAGAACCTGCCTCACTCGAAAGCAGAGTGTTGTCAGTGATCTCCCTTTGAAGCAGCAGGGCAGTTGGAAGGAGTTTACTGCTTTCTCCAATAAACCCAGCCTATTGCAGAATCTCATTTGGTAAGTGGCCTCTCTGTCCACACATGGCCACTTAGCAGTTAGGGTTGTGGTGACAGATCCTTTCCTGCGGTGAACCTTGCGTGTGCATGTCAGACACAGTCAACACATTAATACTGGGTTTATTTCAATACACTTTACAGTTCATGGGACATTACAGCCGTAACATGAGTTTAAAATGCTGTTCTGACCTGAATTGATTAGTTCAGCCAAATGTTACAGGAGGATAATGACAGCAAAAATCCATTGATCAGTAGGCAAGCAGCATTTGGCTCTGTTCATGAGTATAAACAAGTTTCAACCATAATTAAAGTGTCACAACTAAAATACTTGAACATTAGACCACAAGCTAGAAAAATGTAATTTGAGCAGGCTGTTATGCATAAATTTACAATGCCACCGTTATTGATTTCCTAAGTAATATGTTAGCTTTGTGTACTTCCATGCTTAACATTCAAAAGAATTAGACTTTGAATCCAAAGGAGGAAAACCTATTTTGCATGAAGTACAATGTAGTACTTCAGATATGATTTTAAAGTTAATAAAGGATCAGGAGTTAGAGATGGAAAAGACCTATTAGTTAATCTATTCCATCCCCCTGCCAGGGCAGGATTGTTCCCTATGGTATACACAGACTAGGTCTTTGTCCATCAGCAGCTAAATAGCTCTGCCTGCCATTTTCTGTGGACAACAGAGCAGATCGCATTGCTAGGACATTTTTCCCGATAAATTCTCCTTTTCATGATCTTACTCATACTAGTTCCATTTTTTTATCTTCAGTTTTAAAATGGGAAGTAAATCCCTCCCTCACTCACCAGTGCACTTTTCCCTTTTCTCACACCCAAGGAAGTCTTCATGTGCTACCTGAATGGTTTGAAGTTAGGGTATGCCACACTCTGCTAGTCATGGGGATACAAGAGTTTGACTTTTCCTAATGAAGATTCTTAAATGTCCCTAAGTACATACAAAAACCAGGACTATGTAGCACTTTAAAGACTAACAAGATGGTTTATTAGGTGATGAGCTTTCGTGGGCCAGACCCACTTCCTCCGGTCTGGCCCACGAAAGCTCATCACCTAATAAGCCATCTTGTTAGTCTTTAAAGTGCTACATAGTCCTGGTTTTTGTTTCAGCTACACCAGACTAACACGGCTACATTTCTATCCCTTAGTACATACCTAATCCTTGGGCTTGTAGACCAAAGCTGCTTAGAGTGCTTGTTGCCCTCCTACCTCTCAAAAATATTACCCATCACTGAGTCTGTCTAGACTACGGGGAAGATTCAAAAGGATATGCAAATTCCACAGGAATTTGCATATCTTCTTCCGGTCTCACTTTCGAAAGTGAAAGTAATCTAGATGCATTTTTTTGGCAACCCCCTTTTCCAAAAAGTCGTGTAAGCCTCATTTTTTGAGGAAAAGCAGCTTTTTGAAAAAGGGGGTTGTCCAAAAAAAGTGTCTAGATTACGTTCGCTTTCGAAAGTGAGACTGGAAGACGATATGCAAATTTCCATGGGAATTTGCATATCCTCTTTCGAATCGTCCCCGTAGTCTCGATGAGCTCTGTGGCTTAGGAGTTCTAGTCATTAGCTACCAAGGGCTGCATGAGCCATCAGCCTGTGGGGCACTGTACCAACTTCAAAGTTGGGCTGAACTTTCAGCTTCAACTCTCTTAGACTTACGGAATGAGAAGTAGCTAAAAGCTTTGGTCTACCACTGTTTAAATCAGTTATGATTTAGGATTGTGATTCAAAGGGAAATTAAAAAACATGTAGACTGTCAGGAATGATTCTGAGGAACAAACAAAAGGAAAGCGACCTCTACAACAATCTAGTATTTTAAAAGTCATTCAGCACTTCCCTTATTTAACTATTTGGTCCATTTAACTATCAGAAATAGTTGTTTAGCCACTTAGTTTTCCTTTACAGTCGGGTCCTCAATTTCTTTCCTGAGGACCAATACACTTTCCCAGTAGAGACATTTCATACTAGAATTGAAGAAGGGCTACGTTAGTACACGTAGAACTTTTTTTTACAACTTTATAAAGGTTACCCAAGTTATACCCATTTTTTAAAAATAAAAAACCCTGCACAGCTTGAGCACTTAGATGATAATGCAGGGATTAAAGGCAGAGCCTCGTTTGCTACTGCCCTGAGTAGGCACTAGCTTTCCCTTGCCATAGTAACCTGAGAAAACAGCCTTCACTTCAATCTTTTTAGACAAAAGGAGCATCCACATGCCATTGCCAAAGTACAGCAGTTTCCCTCCACCCAATTCCTCAACCTCATCACCTTTGTTCCCTGCCTTTTCCAGCTTGACAAACTCCAGCAAGTCAATCCCAGTCTGGACAGGTTCGATGCCATTGGCACATCCCAGGGTAATGTGAGCCCGGCTGCCTTTGGGCAAGTTGTCTATAGGCAGTATCTTGTCCACGTCTCCAGGCCACAGCAACAGTTCTTGCTCGCTCAGTTCCAGACGAGCACCCACCGTTTTTGTTGTGAGGAACAGTGCAGAGATAGTCAGGGTAAAGGCTTTTCCATAGGAAGCCTTCACAACCTAGGGAGAGAAGGGACCAAATGCTTTGAATCCAGAATAAAAGTGACACCATAATGCTCCTTCAGAAGTTTATAGTAACATCTACATCCAGACCGACTACTCTGCCTTTCCAATTGGATTCTTCACTGATCTCCTTTGCGGAATTCACACATTCCACGTAGATGCTACAAAGCATCCAATGTGTAACAGCTCTTCTCAACAACCACAGGGTCCTTCGCTTGCCATCTCCAAACACTCAATATGGTATGAAAACGACGTCGTGATTGCAGGTTACTATTTTCTCCTGTCCCCCCGCCCCACCCTTTGCTCATCTTAATTTTATATGTTTTCATTGGGATGTCATGCTAAGCTGGTATGTTACATAAGACAGAAGTAACAATTCCTTAATTCATGATTAAGGATGTTAAATTGCAGTTACCTGGCTAATCGTATAGTCCAGTGTTTCCCAATTTTATTTGGCCACGGAACCTTTTTAAGCTCAAAAGAATTTTGTGGAACCCCTAATAAGTCTCATATATGGAGCTGAAAAAGTAAGACCACAAATAAGGATAATAATGAACAAATGCTAACCAAGCTCATGAGATCAATACAAATGAAAACTTTTCAATAAAATTAATACGTTTAAATTATTAAATGTTATTAAATGTTTAAATTAAATTATTAATTTTTTAAAAAAATCATTAAATGTTATTGTAATGACATTTTCTCATGCGATCCTTATTTTCACTTTGCAGAATCCCGGGGTTCCACAGAACACCATTTGGGAAACACTGCTATACGATTCGTCGATAGGACCGCTCTGCAGAGCCGCAGCAGGGATGGCTCCGGGAGCCACTCGCACTGCAGCTTTGCATTTTAAATACAGTAACAGCCACCGGGCTCTTACTACATTTAAAATGCAGAGGGGCAGTGTCCCAGACAAGCATGAGGTGGGAATGCTTGGTCCCAGCTCGCACTATGTCCAGCAGCCCCTGTCCACGGCGGACAGCCTTGGCCACCACAAACAGGGGCTGCTGCCTCCCCTTTGTGCAGGGGCAGGCAGTACCGTGGGGACAGTGCTCGGGGGAAACATCTTTTAAGCTAGCTCCCCTCCAATACTGGCTCCGGTTCCCCCCTCCTTGCTGCTGCAGAGGGCAGAGGAGGCAGAGGCACAGCGGGGAAACAGCTCGAGCAGGGTCTCAGCAACCCCTGCTCACATCAAAGGCTGAAGCGCTGCAGTGGGACCCTGCAGTCCCTGCTTGCACCATTTCCCACTGTGCCTCTGCCTCCCGACCTCTGTGGAGATGGTGCTGGGGGGAACTGGCTTTTAAGCTGGCTCTCTCCAATACAGGTGCCTGTTTCCCTCCCCCGCCACTTCTCTGATAGAGGCAGCAAGGGGAGAGGGAAACGACTAGTCGAGTCACTATTCCACTGTCCGATAAGTTTATTAGATAGTCGACTAGTCACTTGTTCGTGATTGCTCAAAACCAAGTCATTAGAGAAGAACTATAGTATTTATGGAAAAAGTCAAACTACCAGAACATGTAGTTTAGAAGCAACATGAAACACTTTCCAAATGCATCTCCCTGTCAGTGTTATTTCCTCAGTCCTGAGGAGTAACATCCTTACTGTTTCTTTGCACTACAAGGGCCAGCTTCACAAGTGTTGTTCCGAGGGGGACATACGCAGTTACACTATGGCTTTAGAAAGCTACACATACGCCACCCTTCTACCTTGGTAGATTTGGTGTAACATAAAACTTTAACACATTGTTTTGAAGAAAAACAAACCAAGACACTAACTTCTTGTTGTGCATATTCGTCAGCTCCCAAAGCCTTTCCAAAGTCAGTAAATTTTGTCGTACAGTGCAAAACGCCGGGTGGCCTTTTCGCAAAGTGGCCAGTCAGGTCCAATTTTATTTTGGGATCTTCGTCAGGAAGAACTGCAAGTGTAGATAAGCAAAATTACTACTGAGAAATTAATGATCATCCCCTGCAAATGCTCATTTACAAGGTGTTTAACTGTATTTAGCACCCGGAGTGTGCTAGACAACAGTAGAAAATTAAGTGTTCTTATAGTTTCACAGTGCAAGCTTCCTTGCATTGCTAACCAGTTTGCCTCAGCTTGAATAGTACAAGGATCACTTTAGGGGCAATGTGATTAAGACCTTGGCCACTCTCTTCCAACTTACATCACAGAGATCACACGAAACAAGTTGGAATGGCTTGGATATTTCCAGTCTTGGGCTGCAGGCTCACTATCCCACTGTAAATCCCCTAAACATCAGATTCCAAAAACTTTACATTTGAGAGAGGGTGGGTTATGTTTTACTACATAAGTGATCTAAAGTTATTTCTGCTTTTTGGACAACATGTTGTTCTAATTAAATTCTTTAAATTATAATTTGTGGAGAAATGAGACAAAACTTTAAATGTTACTTTGAAAGCTGAGTGGGCAAATCTGTTTCCCTCTGGTTAGTAGAATAAAAAGCTTAGTAAAATATTTATACACGTACAGTACTTAGACTCCTTTTTGAATGCTTTAAGATTTCCTAACTCATCTAAAAAGGCTTGCCCAGTCTTCCTCAAATGCTCAGAGCTCTTTTTGCTCAAAAACCATCCATAATACACAGGCAGGAAATCTTTCTCCAAGCTTGGTTTCATCTTCTTCAGATCTTCAACAGATAGTTTCCATTGATTCTTATCCTTAAGCTGCAAGCAATCCATCTTCCAAGGTGTTTTGGGTTCCACAAAGAGGACTTCGTACTGGTATTTGTCAGCAATATCAAAGAGTTGATCTAGCCGTTCCCGTTCATGGTGAGTATCATCCACAACAACAACACTGATGTCTCGTTTGCAATAGTTGTCTAAATCCTCATCCAACTTTGAATAATCTTCAGGAATGGAGCTTCTTATTGCAGGTATAATTTTATAATTATCAGCAGAAATGACCTTGCAGGCATCCTTATACTGATCTTGAATAGCCCGGGCAAGGGTGGATTTTCCACTGCCAGGCAGGCCTCTTATGATAAAAACGGTTTTAGATTCTTTGACTGTAGAAATGGTAGCATCATCATCAAGGAATGGAAACTGCAGATTTTCAGGTCTGTCTTTTGATGATTGAGCAGACATTTTTCTAAATATTTTAGGCAGGAATGTATGGCTCTTCCGGCTAAAGCCTCTGTTCTGAAAGTTTAAAAAAAATGGTATGACTTTTTTGTGATAACAATCCAAAGAGCACTTTTTTATACACTAAACAATATATTACTGTTTGAGTCCTCACTAGACAGAAGCTGGAGTTTTGCTATTCAGATGTCCATAAATAGCCCATAGATGAGTTCAAATGACCTGATTATGTTATATGTCTGTGCCACCATTATTGGTATTAAATCTCAGCTGCCTTACTCCGCTTACACTGCTCTCAAAGTAACTCTTTGAATATGAATTTAGAAGAAAATTAAAATATAAGAGGTGTAGGCCAGTCCTGCCTGCTCATTTATCTGTAGATTATACCTTTTACCAGTTAGATCCTCACACTTGTTTCCAAGATGGCTTGTGTGGGGTTATGCCACTGCAAACTCCATGCTTATACTGATAATTTACCTCCCTCAAATTTTCACATAGGCTAGGTCTACACTATCGCTGTTTTTCAGAAAAAGCTACGCAAATTGCGAAGTACAATTTGCGTAGCATTTTCCGATTGCTTTTCCGCCATTTGGTCCAATCTAGCAGGGCCAAATGGCGGAAAAGTTTCCTCTTCTGGAGGAACCCTTATTCCTCATAGAACGAGGTATACAGGGCTCCACGAAAGAGCACGTTTGCTCTTCCGCAAAAAAAAAAAAAAGCGCGTAAGAGCAAATGCGTTCCCTGGACCCGGCGGAGTTTTTCCAGGATCCCAGAAAACCCCCGCAGTCTAGACATACCCATAGACACCAGTTTATGGATCAAACTCAGTTCAATCTATCTGAAACTAAAGAATCTGTAAGGCTGCCATATTTATAACTCTTGCTCAAAGAGACCATGCGCAGAAACTTAAATATAGCCTGAACTGCAGAAGTGAAAGTTTCATGCTACTGCCACAGCTGTTGATGCTGAGAAGATTATTTTTAAAACTAAAATTCAGAGATGAAAAAAGGTTTGCTTTGCTTTTGAGTCTGATATTTTAACAGATATTTTCCAGTTGTGCATGAGAGAGCACTTTGGAGAGAAGTCTGCCTGCAGGAGCGTGTACCTACTACTGCGTATCATGCCTGTGCTGACAGGCCTCCCTGGAAATGCCTCTGAGGTAAGATCTTTATTGGCAGGTTAACTGCCGCAGCGAAGAATAATTTTCTGTGTTGCTGTACTTGAGGCAAAGACTTTTAAAACTCCATAATATGCATTAGGTGAGACTGAAGGGAAAAGGAAAACCAAAACTAGTGCTGTCGCTTAGATTCTACAGAAGCAGATGCTACAGGAAAAGCCTAAGAGACAGATGTTTGCATGAGTTTGCCTGTCAATCTTTTGCACTGTAGGCAGGATTCACAATGGCATGTGGTTACTCTGGGAAGAAATTAATTAGAATTTTTCTATGCTGGAGTAATTTATCTATATTGCAATTATATACACAGGCCTCTGTGAAATCATAAGACATTTTGGGGTGGGACTTGATCCTGTGATGATGTATCATCATAAACTTGGCATTATGACATCACACAAGTTTCTCTGGCAATGTCCTGTGGAATCCCTGTAGGACCAAACGGAAGTTGGGAAGCGAAAGGAAAACGCATTATTAAAGGCACAAATATTTTCAATAGTACCAGCAGGAGCAAAGATGTTTGTAAATATAAATAGCCTCTCTTCAATTTCCTTCTCTGGGAGCATTTTGGCCACTGAGATTAGTTAACCTGCTAGGTATGGAGCAACAACTTGGCTCACCAATAGTGGTTTCACTACAGTTAGTGGAACTACGTACTAGATAAGTGAGCAATTTCACTGCTAACTCATTGGATCATCTTGTACTATTCAAGTATTTATTTGGTCTGTAGTGGAGGGGTAGTGCTTGACTCTGCTCACTGGTACTCCTGGAGTTAAGACACTCTAGGCAGGTTTGTGGAAACATTTTGTTTACATAATTCTCCCCACCCTTCTTATTTGGATTTCTTCACTTTCAGCAGTTTGGAACAAGGGTCGTGTATTCCTGTATGTATGAAAAATGCCTAGTATGCTTGTGGGTGCAACTAGACTATAAATCCCTTTAAAACTGATTTAAAGCTATAAAAAGTAAGATAATGAACTCAAAATATAGCTCTGTAACTGACTGGCCAGTATGTATTATCGGCAGATGTTAGGCAGAGTGCTTTCTAGAGAAAGTCACTCATTTACATTGAAAGGTGGCCTTGAGCCTTGTTTGGAGGAATGATATGGTCCACCTTGGAATTCTCTCAGGAGCTTGGCAGAGCCAATATTCCCTCATTCTCTCTTGGTAAGCACAGGCTATTTTAATTCATTATGGAGGTACCTAGTGTTTCATGTCATGGGCCAGGGTCCTTTCTTGTCCACATCAAAGTTGTCTGAATGGAAGCAGTAACATTTCTTTTTAACATCTAAATGTTGAGTCAGATCTGACTTGTCAGGGACCATTTAACCTCAACAAGTGTGCAGGTAATAAGTGAGACAGTCAGAGGAAGTTAAGTGCTGTGACCATAAGAGAGCATTTGAGCAGGGCCTGCATATAGTATTTTAGTTGTGACTGGTTTGCAGTCAAACTATTATGATTAAAATAGCTGTTGGTGAAGAGCAGTAACTGAGGCTTTTTTAAGATGCAAACAAAAGAACAATAATAGAAAACACCCTCAGCCCCCATTGTTTATCAGCCAACTTTAAATAATAAGCTCTTTAATGAAACCAGGCCATATGCAAAATGGACAGACAATGGTAGCATACAAATAAGTCTTAAAGGAGCAGTTGGACAGTTTCTAATTAAACAATCTATTCAATTCAATGCAAGCTATGTCACTTCTCCCCTTC